TGAGCGTGGAGGAAAACAGAAAAGAATGAAAAACTGAAACCGATCATCAAGCAAATGCAATATATATATATATATATATATATATATATATATATGACTTTTATCACTGCACGACGGAAAACCGACGGAGAATTCTGTTTCATTTGATACCTATTAGAGTATGAGATATGAATCATATTGTTTACGCAGTTGAGGAGCGGACATCGCCGCAGAGAGTGCGGTAAAATGGTAATGAATGATCACATGTAAACCTTTATATAGATACGCTGATAGTGATTTGATGGACACATAGAAATCACATTGAATTGTAAGTTTGTTACGTGTAATAATGACAGAAGGATAAAGGTCGTGAGCATATAAGAACGGTTTCAGTGACTTGCTTGGTAGTTCTTCCGTATCTGGCATTTGATATATATCATTTATAGATATATAAATATATATGAATTGTACAATGAAGAATCTATATATATATATATATATATATATATATATATATATATACATAAGTACATAGAGAAAATAGTGGATATTATGGCGAATATGCCTGGCTCCGACTCAAATGTTATTACCGACACATAACACATTAACAGGCAGACACACACTCCAAACAAAAACAAACCACAAAACTGTCGCAATATTGTGAATCATAGGTTGCATCGAAGAATATATGGAATTGAAATCAACACGACTCATTGCCCATGCAACCCTACTAATTATGACAACAGTAGGCAACAACGCAGCGTAAAAGTTCTAAGTCTAAATGCACTTTTAAAATAAATTTATATTATCATACATGACCTGAATTCATCTTATTGCTACTCGCATACAGCGTAATTTACGTATATCAGACCCGACTTTGGTCCGACCCACGTTATTGTAATCTAACTATCTTATAATCGATCAATCTCGATTTTGGCATATAGAACCAATATTTTTGCTGTGATAGAAACGTAAATTGAATTGTTCTATCAACACTTTTTTTTTTTTAGTTTGCATCGTTGTGACCCAGCCAAACTAAGAAAATACACGAGCGTCATGAATACAGTCTAAAAATTACCCTACTACAAAGCACTCGGCATTAGGTCGTTTTGTGAATGAACAGAATTTCTGGGGCTGAGAGAGAGGTTTCGAAACCGAGGATCGTTGTCGACTTCGTTGAAGTCGACGGCACGAAAATGAGCACATTTAGTATTGCCGTAAATTGAGCGAACTCGATACAGGGACAATGAGGTAATCAGTGCATCGTTAATTATGTAGAACCATTATCATTGGCCAGTAAATAGCAATAAACAAGCGGCTAGTTTAAAAATGGTATAATTATGTGATTTATTTAAAGGTTGTAAAATATTTACTTATAATAGATAGTTAGCTGGAAACGAAATAACGTTATTATTGCAGTTGCTCCGTATTGTCTCATTCAGATATAGGCGAACTCCAGGTAAAATTACGACGAACAAATGGATACCGCAATTGTTAGTTGGTGCCAATTAAACTCGTAACGTCAGTGTCGATTCAATTGTCAGCTCGTTACGGGCTGGGACAGTTATGCAATCCGTAGACTAAGAGCTCAACTTCTAAATAGAATTAATGGGAAAGGTGCCAACAGGCGATATATGTTCGACGTCGTCCAAAAATGTTTGTTTGACAATGAGGCAAAATATATGAGGCCATAGGAAGAAATTAGATGGCAACAATGACGAAACATACTCACAAATACACAAACTGAACACCTAGACCAGAAAATAAATTAAACAATGTTGTAAACTATAAGCCTCTTAGTCGTGTTCTCAGTTCGGTGAAGCCAGCTATACGAACAGGAAATAACAAACAGAAAGCGTTTACTTTAGCAACGTTTTACATTGCAGAGTATAAAGCAGCACTCGTACGGCGAGCCCCAACCTTAACCAGATACCCCCGTCTATTTTATCCAGTAATTCTCCTTTCTTAACCAATTGAAATCAGCATGCTTGTCCAGTAGTTAATGTGTTTGATTGGTCAGCACGATACTCGTGAGCTCATGGCCGCACTGGGGCAGATATCCCTCAGCAAGACTTGCACCAGCACGGTGATAGCTGATTGCAAAGATACGTTAACTAAAAAACAATCGCTTAGAAGTAAAAACGTGCGTAAATCTGTTCGCATCGTTACTTACGCAAAGGCAGAGCAAGAATAAGTTAGTTTTCAATAACTAAAGCCTTCAAAACGTAACCGTGATAAGCCACAGGATCACAATATTACATAAAACTTTCTCGCCGCAAATGCCCTAATTGGCATAACAGTGTCTCACACAATAGACTACTTATTTGCCCCAATGTTCACTTTCGTTCCACAAGTCAACAGTGCGCGGGTAAACGAGCTCACATTTTTTGGGGAGGACAGCCCCCTCCGTATTTACCGCACAGAAAATTTTCGAAGCAAACCTCCACATCTTTGCACTTGTTTCCTATTTAAAATCAAACAAAAATGGCTATGTCTATCTACCTGTGTAGTCTTGTTTTCATAACGTTTGTCTTCTCTTCTGCTATCAAGTCGCAATTTGTGAAATTGTTTTATCTCTTTAATTCACAGGCCTGCCACTTTAACTTTGTCGAAGTCACTATAATGAACATTGTAGCGGTCATTCGAACTTATAGTGACAGTTATAGGGAAATCGGACTGCCAATCTTCGTGTAGGGATTTGACGGTGCCAACAAAACGAAAAATTGCCCGGTTCAGCACCGCCACTTTCTCTATGCTCTAATCTGGAATATACGCGCACCGTCACATCGATTTTGATAATAGGGGTCAAATCGTACCACCGCATCGAAGCTGGACCTCTGCAGCCTTTCAGATTTATGAAGTTGTACTGCTCTCGACGTTGGATAAGGCCAGAATCAAAGTTACCTTCAGTAACTCTCCATCAACAATCCGAATCGAACGAGCAGCTTATCAATGCAGGTGTCCAGCGTAGCTGGATGATAACTGCAATCATCTTCGTAAAAGATATTCGCCTAGTTTGGCGGGCCGCCTAGTTTCATGTGAAAAACCTCGTTTTAGGTCTTGACCGGCTTGGCTTCTTTGTAGGAGAGACCTGTTTATCTAAATATGCAAAATGCTAGGGCAAAAATCGTATCGCTACTGCTAGCGTCGTAAAATGGCCACGCTGTAGGAGAAAAGGCAAAATTCGTTATGCCAGAAAAAAAGCTAGCGCAGCGTTTTTAAAAAAATTTAGATAGACATACACGAACGCTTTGGGCCGGCTGTCGGCATGGAGTTTCTCTCCTCCATGGAATAAATGAGTAATTTTTGTAAAATATAATAAAATGCTTTACACATTAGCTTAATCGCGATAATGTTTGAGATGGCGTATAAAGCATTTCGACAGTTACTCGTTTGGGAATCCGTTGTTGCGACGGAGATTTTCAGAGGCGCTCAACATGCTAAGTCTGAGACTAGGTTAAAAGGAGCTTGGCTGTTAAAGCGGGACTAAAATTTAATGCATATTTATAAAGTATTTAATATAACTTCATAGTCATATTTCATAATGCGTTATAGATTTCAAAAAAAAAAAAAAAAGGTAAAATCATTCTTCAAAAGCATCCCTATTGAATCAAAATTTAAAAAATGCGCTAATTTATAGCGCACTTGGTTACGCTGATGCGGGGTTTAAACTGTCAAGGCCAAACTGATCTTAATACTTATTTTCTATAATATGGTGTAGCTGGTGAAGGCATTTCAGATTCATCACGACCCAGTTACGTCCTGGCTATTCACTGTCGTAACATTCAAGAGCACAAGTCGTATTTGTAAAGTTTGCCCAGCGGCGGACGTGCTCAAAATAGCTTGAACTCATACGATTATCATTTTTGGTTTCGTGGCTCTCGTGTCCCTGACATCTTCATCAATCTTATCAGCCTTGCTCGTTTCAGCTGCCTTGCTCAGACGGGCGAAACGAATCAGCTTTTTGTTCGGCAAAGTATCCAATTTGCATTGTCGACAGCTATCGATTTACTACCTAGGTCACAGTAGAACGGATTACCGAGTTTAATGCGAAACTGATGACCCGTGAGCAGGTTTCCAATTATTAGTTATTATTAATTATTAATTGGTAATTCGTTTCCACAACAACAAAACCGTCACGTTGATATTCCGAAGTAGGACATCGAATGCCGTTGTTTGTTTCAATCAAATGAGGGACGTCGAACTGCTCTACGTAGTAGGTGACGTGAGATCGCCGCTTTAATATGTCCATAGTCCTATAAGCTATTGATTTCCTGAAACCTTAGATGTCGCACACATTTACCGGCTGCTGGATTTCAACAGACTCATCGTGTTCCAGGTCTCCCCAAGTGCGCTGAAAACAGCTATCCGTGGAGAGCTCGACTGGCGAAAACGCCGGGCCGTTGCGTCTTAATGACTGCACCACTGTAATAACACGTAAAAACGAGATCGTCACAGCCCTGACCTTGAATCGAGATCTGCTACCGAAAATCGTTTGGCTATTTGTCGCCAACATCCTTAGAAATTGACAACCGATGTGTCTTGGGCTTTGGATGGTAAGCTACAAAGTCTGCGCTGCCGAAATGAAAAGATCTTTTCTTACTACTTCTGTCAGTTAAGGAGGTTATGAGCAGCCAAACAAGAGAAAGGCAAACGAACTGCACCAGTACGGTTTTGCTGGCTACGCGACACAAAGAATTTCGCATAGAGCCGCGTGGTCCGTCCTTTTTCATGCTGACGAACAAAGCTGGCCGGTTTTAAACGGTTTAAGCTATAATTGGCCGTTATCTGATCAGCATATTCCATGTATCCTACTCTCTTTTGGTAGCTACGTAAGAGAAAAGATGCACTGCTAAAGGTAAAATGCCTGCTTGGAATACATGGGTGTATAACGTCGAATTTTCCAAATGTTACG